CTATATATATATATATATATATATATATTATAATGAGTAATTTACATTAAGTTCTGTACTTCAGAGAGGGGTGGTAAATAAATTAGAGAAGAGAGAAAACCTAGAAAACAAATGTCAGGATTCTCAACTAGGGGAGATTGAAGATTTTTTAAAAGTATTTTCTAATAAAATTAAGAACTTAAAACTTATATATCAAAATCTGATTTATTAACTACACCTTGATACTAAGTTTATTTATATATGTGCTGATAATAAAGTAATGTAATTCAATTTTGAAGGTTATTCTGTAAAAGGTCATGCGCATGCACTTTGATCTACCTGTAGTAAAAGGGTTAAACTGACTACTAAAAATTGTTTCAGAATAACAAAAATATATTTTATTTTTTTTCAAATTCAACCATAATATACCTGCTGTAACACTATACAAACTGGGAAATCTTTAGCATATAAAAACAATCACCAGATCAACTTTAATAAAAAAAAAACTTCAAATCTTCTTTGGTTTTCATCATGCTTATAGATGAAATTACTTTTGTTATATGATTTTGTTTACTGTCTTAAGACAACTCTTACCAATGCAAACTCCAGTTCTATTTCCTGGCTTGAAACCTGGCTGACACTGGAAGCCTATATTTTGGGAACAGGTGTAAGAACCAGGTGTATTTAAACACACTTCTGCCTCATGGATACAGCTGTGAGTTCCAAGAGTACACTCATCCAAGTCTAAAAAATAAATCAAAACATTATGTTACATTCTATTAATCCTATAAAAATTTCATATTCTCTGCAATTTGTAATTCTGGACCAAAAATTTATAGTTTTTTCAAAGTCTTAAGGAAAATATTTATCTTTAAATTTATTAATGAAATAACCAGAGTTAGTGATTTTTGTTAAAAATCAACTGAAAAAGTGAGTTAAGAATGAACTGTTTTAAAATGAAATTAGAGAAAGTGAAGCAACTAGAAAATTTTTGAGGACATTTTACAATTGCTTCAGGTTTTTACCAGTTGAAAATGTATAAAACAGAATTTAAAAGTTTTAACAGTTCTTTACATCTAAGTAAGTAACCAAGGATATATATAAAAAAGAGGTGACAAGAAGACGCCTATGTTGTGAAATAAGCTTGAGAACTAGTAACCAAGGTCAGAAGCCTAGTTACATAAAAAACGTTGCCTAGAAACAAGATGAGTGAACTAGTGCTTGTGACAGGTTGATAGATTACTGACCTCAACCCCTTAGAACTAAGAAAGCTACGGAAAAGTTTGGTTTAGTGAGTAATATCGGCACTTTGAGGCAATATCGGTTACAGAACATGGGTGTAGCAGTACAAGTGAATAGGTGGCCGGCTAACACCACTTATCTATAACCAATTACTTGAGAGTTCTGGTTATGGTTTTGGATTAGCCCGGGAATTCCCCTAAAGTATCCAATAGGAACACAGGACTACTTGTGGGTGATGCTGTGTCCTATTTAGTGAGTCGAGATAATACCAAGAAAAGTTAGTTAAAAAACCCATGCCAGAGACTGAAAATCAGTTCTCCCAGGAGTGAAGAGTTCCTAGAAAAACTGAACAATGAAGATGTCAAATGTGGCTAAGACTCCCAACAATCCAACTCTACTGTAAGTATGATTTCTCTCTCTCTTAATTAGCTAGTGTTAAGAACTATAGAAAATATTAAATGTATCTAAGTAAAAAGTGTTTAATTCCAGTATATAAGTAGTTAATCCAGTGTGACTAACGTTTAAAGTTTGTTATGTTTTTGAGAAGTTGTTAAATGTCTAATGAATGTTATTATAAGTGTTCACCATCGGCCTGAGACTCTATTTCTTTAGTGTAACTGTAAACTACCTCGAGTTAGCGACTTGTGGCTCCACTTGTCACGACAAATCCTCCAATAAATAAATTTGGTGTAACAACTAGTTTTAATTGAAACTCCAACAATTAAGCCCACTAGGGTGCTACTTATTACAAAAGAATATGACCAAAAGACAGCCTTGAAAGTTAAAAATCTGCGTTACTGGGATAACTAAAATAACTTCTCTCTCTCACAGTATAACACCTATTAAAATTATTCACTTAAGTGTCATACAATGGGTAATGAAATAGTGGTATAGCTAGTCAGATATGCTGTAAAGACCAAATTTCATGAAAAAAGATATAATACTAACAATCATAGGATTAGTTTTAATTTTTTTACTAATAATAGGGACAATTCAAAGACTGTAAAATGACACAACAATGAATATGATGCTAGAAAGTTCACAGGCTTAGTCTGCCAGTAAAGCTAAAGTACTGCAAAAAATATGTAAAATTCATTTATGTATAAAATAAAGTAAAATATAATAATAGTGCTAATTTACTGATGTTCTTAATACAATTAATACTCCTTTTTTTAACTATGAATACAATCCAATAGTATGGTAAGTATAATTTAGTAAATTTTCCAAAAGAAACAAAAAAAAACCATTAACAAGATTGACATAGTGAATGTGAATCAATCACTGAAAATGACTACCCTTATGAAAAGGATTCACCTGAACTTTGCTTGTTGAATGCCTGTAAATCCTGTTATTTACCTATAACTTACCTAAAGGTAATTTACAAGATCTTGGATAGGTAGATAGGATATTGAATTATTTTTGAATTGTATATGGCAACTGTAGAATACAAGGAAATGCCAATGAACATAATTTGTCCTGTGATATGCCTGTCATTTTAAAACTACAGGAACCTGTAGATGTATACAAAATATTGCAAATCTCACATACAGTGCACAATTACTGTAAATTATAAGTATAACCAGCTGTAAATAATTTGTCCTGAGAAACGTATGTCAGTATAAAATAACATAAACCAGTACGGACTGACTGAATACTTCAAATTACATGTAATGCACATGGTTACCATAAAGTACATAAACCATCAATATATAACCTATCCTTTGAAATTGCTGTGAGTTTAAAATAACAGGAGCTTGTACAGTTAGATAGAATAAAATAACTTGTACATGATGACTTTATCATTGTAACAAATTTGTTATGTATTTATTTTAATATGAACGTTGTTTAGATTAAGTTTGTGTTTAAAAACATGCCTAGCTTATAGTGTTAGAAATGTATTGCAAAACTCCCGCCTATTCTCTAAAGTTGTAGAAGATACTTGAAAGTAAGAGTCAACAATATATCTATATATGTAAAGGTTTAAATATAACTCAGTATTGTTATGTAATCTGAATTTTCTAGAAAACTTTCCCACGCTTATAAATACAGTCAACATGATGTACCAAAGAGAGTGTCTATTAGTAGTTCGCTATAATCAGTGTGCTATAAACTTCAAAAGCTATAACTGTGATTTTTGTCAATCGGAAAACTTAAGATATTTGACCAGGACTACTTATAAATTTCTAACATTACAAATCGTTTAACTTCAGTAGATTCTCATCGGACATTAGTATTTTTACGAAAACATTACCAACTTCAATGGTGGAAAACAGTGTGTGTGGCCAAGGAGACAAAGTTAGCTAGCTTCCCAGCGAATCGTACTTACAGCAACTCATAATTAACTCGTTTATCGTAAACCCTCGATAAGATATCAAGGGAGTTCCAAACTAGAAAGAAGATTTTATATTGTTTGCAAGTTTGTGAAACTTGTGTTTATAAATCTTTGTTTGTAGTAACTATTTGTAATAATTGTTATTGTATAGGATAGTTACTGAAAAGACAGGCAATGACTCTGACATCAGGAATTTGGAAGATAGGAAGTAGAATAAGGCCAAAATGCTGGAATGGGAAACATGGGTTCAGCAGGCCTAGGAACAGGAAGAGAATGGTGAGGTTGAGAAAAATGAGAAACCGTAACAGATAATGAGTTCTGATGCTGGGCCATCTCAGCCTGAGTCTCCAGTGAATTAGGAACACTCCCTAAGACTGTTAAGTGTGACGTACATGTGCATTAGCTAGGAGAGCGTTCTGTCCCAAGAGCAGAGGAATCATGTAAGAAGGGATAGAGCAGAAAAAGAAGTAGGGTCCAATGTGGTAAAAAGAAGAGACTGAACCTCTCCAGAAAACCTCTCTGGACATTATGAAGTGTCTCAGAAATAAGGTGAAGTGATGAGATGTAATGCAAGAGGGTGGGTGGCAAAAAAGAGATTAAGGTATGAAAATTGGGCACTAGAATGGGGGGTAGAAGCGAGTGGGTCTATCCCAGGTAAAAGAAATTCCAAAGACTGGAAATCAAAGAATAGAAATGAAGAATAGATGTAAGCCAGGACAAAATAATCAAGTAGGCGAGAAGGACGAGGCATGATTATACAGATGTGCAGTTCTTCAAAAAATGAGTATGCATTGACCCTAATGTCAGGTGAAGCAGGAAAGACAAAGCAGTCTCGAGTATGGATGTCATATAATAAAGCATGGGAAGAATCAGAAGACAAAAGGGAAATAAAAGAAGATACCTGCAAAATCATGTTAAAAAAGGGATTAGAAGGGTGAGCATTTTCCACCACAGATAAAGCTGTGTCTGGAGCAAACCATGGTGAGGGAATCATCAACATCCTGAATGGACAGGAGGAGGAGACCCAGTGTGCAGGAAGGAACCCACAAAATGTTTGAACAATGGCTGTCACATCCTCCATAGACAAAGACCTCCCAGTAGCCACAACAGACATAGGTGCCACATGAAAATCACTGTCACTATCATTGGATGAAGCAGAAATTAGCATCATTTGAGAATTCATAACTGTGGGAAACACCATAATGAATTTTTATTTTTTTTTCTATAACTAAAAGGAAAAGATAAAATCATGCTGATTATGTGAATCACAAGCGATAAACCATGGAAACTAAAATAATATTTAAATCAATAGGAAACCATCACAACTCCCAAGTAATTGATTAACAATTTTGAAACAGGTTTATTCTAGACAATGTAGAGGAAAAGAATGAAGTTGTTTCAAGTATGAGTGCTTAGGGGAACCTACTGTGCAACGAGGTTGTGTTGGCCCCATACTGGTGGCGGGCTATCGTCACATGATAATGTCATCATGTACTAGCACAGTTCATGTTAACAATGTGTTTTTTTAGGTGGGAATTAGCTCAGTGCTAATGGCAAGCAAATCTCATAAGCAGCTGCACAAGCGATCGGCCTATTCTGTTTGTGAAGGTGAGGTATCATCTTGAAATTAATAAATATTATGCCAACATGATTATTCATTAGGTGTAGGTTACACCTAGTTGTTCATTTCCAAAATTAGAACAGCCTGTTGAATAATGGTAAAGAAAAACGTCAGTGGTTGCATTCTGCCATTTTAAACTCATGTAGTAAAACAGATTTTGGAAATAATATATTTCAATGATTTTAACAGTTATATCTAATTTTAGATCTAACAGTTTTTAATACAACTAGCAGAAAGCCACCCTACAGGCAGCTGTTTGTGCTAGTAATTGCTAATTGTAGTATTCATACTTCTTTGAAAAAATTTAGAAAAAGTGAACATTTTCTAAAAAAGGGTTTTTTGTCTGGGAAGTGCTGCACAGGAAAAGTGTTTGGATTATGCTCTTTAGCCATACGTACATCATTGCATCAAAATGATTTAATGTACAGAGATCAAAATTTTCATAAACTTTACTGATATAAACTGTAATGTTTTTATATGTCAAAAGTGGTACCATTTATTGAAAAAATAGTTTTTTTAAGAACTCCAGTTTCTCAGTACTATATTTAAAAATTACATCAATAAAGATATAATCAAACCCTCACGTACAGTATAGTAAAAGTCATGTTCTTGTTTTGAGAAGAGTACTTTTATTTAAAATTGTGTTCTATTATTTCTAATTGTGTTGTACATACCACAGTTATTTTTCTAACTGTCTGAATCTTGAATATCCAAAATTGCGAAATTTTATATGGATTTTTGTTTGTGGTGCCATTCAATTGATGGTGCAGAAGTTTTGGTTACATACCTAGATACTGACATACATGCTTCATCCATTATAGTAAGAAGATGATCTTAACTGTAATCTAAAATGGGTTATGGTTTTCTAATGTACGTATTTGTAAATACTTCTACTGTTTGATAACATTTCATTCTGCAGAATCTGAAATGACAGTAACTTCATAATGAACATGCAATTAAATTTATTAAAATTATATGGGAACTTACTGTATTCATAGAAGTGGGTTCTACAACAGTTAGTTTACAGATAATAGAAATTGACATATAATTTATAGGAATTCAAAGAAATTCGTTTCAATAAAGTTTAATATACTATTTGAAACCAAAAACTAACTCACCATTACACTCTCCAGTCTGCAGATTTTTATAGTAGCCTAACTGACAATCATCATCTAGAAGTTGGCTCTCTTCTCCCTTTCTGAAGCATTGAAAGCTACCAATAGTGTTATGGCACGTTTCAGTAAGGGCATTACATGCGTGGGTTCCCAATAAACATTCATTTATATCTAAAAAATTTAATATAAAAATAAAACTTATTGTAATAATTTTTAATCTTTCAGAATTAAAATCAACAAAAACTTTTAATGCAGTGGAAATTTAGTAAAGCTATTATTTAATGCTGGATTATTATACAGAACCTAGTAATGTTTAGCATTTCAGGCAGACTGGCCCATTAGGAGATCAGGTGATTTCTTAAAAGGCAAGTATCTTTGACTAGTTTGTGGCTGATGGATGCTGCTACATCATAATTTATAATTTCCATGCACAGGACCATGAATAGTTCACTAAGCATTCTTTGTAATTTAAATAAAATATTTATCAGTCTTTCCCAAAAGAACTGACTCAGTGCCAGGACATTCATATTCCCAATCAATCGCCAATGAACTTGATTTACTAAGCCAGTCCAACACTGCTGGACATATTAATGTAATGAAAAGGCTTTTTTTTAATTCAAATATAACAATCTTGATATTTGTTAAAAAGTGTGTTTAGGAAGAGAAGACTGTACTCGATTACAGACTTCTGTGGATTGAATTTGCCTTAAGTCCAATTGGTTATGTAAGTGAAATGCTGTTGAAATGCTGCCATAACAACAATTGGTGAGTGAGGTCCAGAAATGTACAAAAAAAAAGGATTGAAATGTGGAATACACAAATGAAGTAGAGAATTCTGAGTCTTGCGTAAGAGGCATGATGTCATCAAAACTCAACAGGAGCTTAAGCTATGTGGACACAAAACTTAATGTTTGTTCTGTTCATTGCAGAGGAAACAATGTGATTCAAGAATGCATAATGAATTTTGATGTAAAAGGCTATTTTTAAGTTTGTTAGTTTTCCAATATTGTGAGGAACCAAGTATTCACTGTTGGTTCCATTTAATAATGTTTGGTTGTTGTTGTAGTATTATGCTAGGGCCAATTTTTCTAGATGGATAAGTCAAGTGGCATTTTGATGTTCCTTTATTTTTTGTTTTAATTGATCTGCTGGTTTCTCCATATAGATTTCACTGCATGTAGATAATGTTTGTTTGTCTTCACTTTGTTTTTAATTTTGATACACATATCTCTTAAGGTTTTGTTAGGTTTGAATGACACTTGAATATTAAACTACTTGCGCATCCTTTTGAGTTTGAAACTAAGTTTTAGAATGAATGGAAGAATAATGGTAGTTAGAGCTCTTTCATCTGAGGATCACAAGAGGTAGTTTTTAGTTTGGAAATGAATGAATCAGTAGGGACAATCATTTGTTTGGAAAGTTCTATAAAGTTGTTCTTTTTCTCTTTGAAATTGGTTGTCATTACACATTTTGGTGGTTCAGTCAAAAATTCAGTTAGTGATGCTTTTAATGGAGTGTGAATGGTTAGACTTGAAGTGCAAATACCTGTCAACATGAGTGTTTTTCCTGTAGATTGATGCAGTAAGGTAATAGTCATGTCGATGAAAGAGGATGTCTAGAAAAGAAAGGAGACCATTTTTGTCAAATTGATAATTTGATCAATACAATAAAATAGATATTAAAGGAAATTCTGTATTTTGTTCAGGGTACGAGGGCAAATGTTGAAGGTTTCATCAATATATCTCCACAGGCATAGTTTTAGTGGATCAAAATTTAAGGGTTTAGGTTCAAATCTTCCATATATAGGTCTCTAAGGATTGGGTAGACTATGTGTTTGTTTGAAAAAGACATCTATGAATTGGAAATAGATATTGTTCAGTAGTGCCATGACGGTATTAGCATAGTATGGTTTGTAGTTTGAAAGTGGTATCTTCATTGAAGAAGGTAGGGTTAAGTAGATAGAAGTGCTGGGAAAAATGGTTATGATGTCAGACTCACAAATCAATCTTCTGATTGTTATGTTTAAATCCCTTATTTCTTAAGCTACAGAAACAAAATTTATCCCACAACTTTCTTGATTGTCTTAGAAAAGGTACAAATGGTGACCCTAGCAGAACACACCTACAACAATAGACATATTACCAATTGCAAGCAATGTCAAATATTCAACTCAAACTTTAACAAGCCTTTTTTTATATCAAAATCCATCAACCATCCATTAACTATAATCAAGGCATGGATTTCAATTCAATATGGACTCCTTTCTTCAATAACAAATAGAACAAGCATCTAACCATGGGTCCACACAGCTCAAGTTTCAGTTAAGTTCTGATGCCATAATACCTCTTACCTGAGACTCAGAATTACGTATTCCATTTGTGTTTCAGAATTATGTATTCCATTTGTGTTCTTTCACGTATTTTTTTTTAAATACACACCAAAATTCCACCCACTCAGCTCTCAGTTATGGACATGTTTCAACAATATTTCATATGTGCAACTTAATCAATTTAACCTGATGAGCATCTGCACTAACAGCTCAAAATATCCAAAAATGTCTAAAGCAGATGTAGTCCACAGAAACATCCAATCAAGAACTTTCATACTCACATACCAAGCATTTTTTCTTTTTGGTTCCATATACCTCTACAACATTTAGCAATGAATGTTAATAGCTTGTACTGTATGACCACTATTACTTTCTTATTGCCTTTCTTTTTAATGTTGTAGGGGCAACCCATGTATGTTTTGGTATTGCTATGAGCAAAGTCATTTCATTAAGTTTACTTAATTTTACAGGGCTCATTTTGATATGGTATTGTTATGACAGTGGGGGTCACGTGACGAGTATTATAAAAGATTCGCTAGTGTGTTACGACAGCGGGGTCACGTGACAAATATTCGTTAGTGTGTTGCAACAGCGTTGCGTCAAACGACGCTGGTAGCACGTGTTGAGAGTCTTAGAAGTTTCTAGAACAGGCAGTATTATCGTATATAAGTGCGCTAGACAGTGAGAGAGACAGACGGAGTCGAAGCAATAGTGGAGACAAAGACAGAGACGTAGCAGAGACGAAGCAGGCAGAGAAAAAGAAAGACAGCGGTTACGGTCGGCGGGAACTGAGGATAGCAGACACAGAGATTGGAACTATAGTTTGTGGGAACGGACAATTAAGTCTAAGCGCGATAGAAAGTGAGTGAATTGTTGTGAACTATAGTGTGTGTAACTGTGAAAATTAAGTACATTACAAAGTTGTATTGGGGAAGAATAAACAAGTTTTATAAAGAAAGGACTTGTATCTTGTAAGAATTAACAAGCAAACATACAGAGACGTAACAGTATCAAAACATTTTGAGTATGGCTATGTTTTTCTTTTCAAATGTAGTTGATTGGTTACTAACCAAAACAATACTTATCACCACTTTCAGAAACTTTCACATGCCATTGTTTTCTTCACTTCTGGCAAAATATATCCTCATGACATTATATTAAAAAAATTATGATAAAAACAGTTAAGTAAACAATGTATTAATCAACAATTTGGAATGGTTGCTAGATATATTTAAACAAAGACATATAAGCAAGCATACTGCTTAAATTTGTATGTTAGTTTATTACAATCAAACATTAACACTTCAGATCTTAATGATAATAACAAATATATAAAAAAGTTTTTTTGTTTTGTTTGAAGTTAAGCACAAAGCTACATGAAGAGCTATCTATGCTCTGCCCACCACAGGTATTGAAACCCGGTTTCTGGAGTTGTGAGTCCATAGACATACCTCTGTACCATTGTCTGTACAAAAGTCTGTCCTTAGTACACTGGTTTTGAACTTAAACATGAAAGTTTATGAAGACGTCAAAATTTATAAAAACAAACTGTCAAAAATTAAACTGGCCAAAGTTGATTTACCTTGTTTATTCCAATACAAATTGTCTGATTCTTTGAAAATAAGACATTTTAGTAATCAGTAATGTAGCCTTGTTCCCTCTTAACAACATCTTAAAGATACTATATATGGCATAAAAAATAAATACCTTCACAAGTTCTTTGATCAGAAGCTAGTACAAATCCTGAATAGCAGGAACATTGGATAACAAGACCAGTATCAATACATTTCTGAGAACATGGATTATTTGTTTCACATCTGTCATCACTGTTTCCTAAAAAAATTTAAAATTGTCATCAAAATTTTTTTCATAACATAATTTAAAAGTTACTTCATAAATATACAACGACTGTTTAAAATATTGACATACAAATTTTTGTAGTTAGCATTTATTTATAGTTCCACAAATATGAAGACAACAGATAATTTCAAATGTGGAATGTACAGAAGATATGCTAAGAATTTAAAAAAAAATCACATTTCTTACTTATAAGAAGGTATAAGTTTGAGGAAGCAAACAGTAGAAAAAGAAACAACAAGATATAAGTGATGCATATAATCTACTTAATAAAACTGTTAAATAAAACTTAGTTTATTTCATGTTTATCATAAAGAATCATAAGCCTAACAAGTTATGTACAGCTTACCACAATAATTACTGGTTTTAAGTTTATGGTGTTATTACTCCTATGCTACTAGCTATTTAATATTTTTGTTAATGGAAACAATGACCATTATTAAGTCAAACAATTATGATTAAATTGAAACAGGCTTACTCTAAAGGAGGAAAGGAAAATCCAAATATTAATGGTTTAAGGCTATAGCTTCAGAGTAGCAATCACAAATCTTAATTCTGCATGTATAAACAGCATTTCATAAGAACTTTTGTCTCTCATCTTCCAGCCCAACTAACAAGTTCTGGTATTAAATGAAAGGCCTCATGAGTAGTGACTAATGGGAGACAAAAGACACTTCTGAAATTCTATTTTACACCTCTAATTTGGAATCTTAAATGGACAAATTAAGAGGAATGTGGAAAGAAAAAATATCTGAAGTTTACACATTTTTTATCAAAAATATTAGGCCTATTGGTCTTATGAATACTTAATTGTTTATCATTACTCACAGAAGCTTCCCTACAGAATAAAGGGAGATAATACACTGCAGTTGATGAATGTTTTTCATAACAGGCTACACAAAGGTGGCAAGCCTGAAGATGGGTTGTAATTAATGACTTAAGATAAGTTTCCTTATCTGAAAATGTATTTCAGATAGATACTCACATCTCCTCAGAACAGCTAGCTAATAATTCAAGCCATTGTCAAAATGTTTTTGTACATATGCCAAGCCTTTGAAAAAAACTCCCATCCCTAACATAATAACGTGTATTGCACCAGTCTATGATGTAATTAGCATTAGACTGTAGCCCTCCATTAATAGGAGGGCAACACATCCTCCATATGAAGTACTCTCCTTAAACGCCTTGAGCATACAAAGAGCTTATTTTTGAAAAGTCAAAACAGACACACACACACACACTGGAAGTGGGGGGGGGGGTTGGTTCTGTCGAGATGTATCTATCTGAAATACATTTTCAGGTAAAGAAAATATTAACTTTAGAAATGCTACTTAACTCTTCACAGAACAGGTAGCTGGAATCAAACATTGAGGAGATTGTGGAAGGACTGATATAATGTAACAAAATTTAAAAAATGAGTTCCTTTATAAGAATATAACAACAGAAAACTTATGGAATGTGTCACCCACTCGGGATGGGGCAGCTAGTGGGAGCACCATCTGGTAAGAGAACAGATAAATCTCACAATCTCAAGCAGAGAATACTCTTCACTCAATACAATTGCACCCAACCCAGCTACATAGGTACCTGTTTACAGGGGTAAGTCCAGGTGGGGTGGAGGATAATAGATGTTCAGAGTCACATGGAAATGTCTAACCGACCGTGACAGTGAGAGGTGAAGAGATGGATGCAGTTGAATGAGAGAAGACAGTGTATCACAGAGTATTTTCCACTCATCTGACAGAATACACTGAGAAGGATAGAAAAGGAACCATCCAGAGGAAGAAGGGACATAACAGGAGTGAGAATCCCCCCCCCCAAAAAAAACAACTTCATACATAGAAAGGAAGTGAGATATAGCCTTGGAAATCAAAAGCTCCATATCTTGGAAATATGATTAAGAATGTAAAGCTCACTCAGTAAATGAGGTGCCAGAGACTCCCAAATGGATCACTATGAGTCAGTATTGACTTAGGATACTGGCCAGCAAACCAAAGTGAGCAGACTCCAGAAGGAAGGGGAGGTCATAGCAGATGGTTTCTCCCAGTACAGGATTAGAAGATGCCAAATGTCCATATAGTGGTGAAAATGCAGGTCCATCATGTGCATTCTCCAAGTGAAAACTCTTAGGATTTAGTTTATACAGATAGGTGTGGGCCCTGAAAGATAAAGAGAGCTCCTTAGAGAAAACCTATGTGACACAAGTGTTTCCTCCTGTAAAGTGAGTCTGCAGATGGACAAAGTGTAAGAGCCAAGTTCTCACAAGGCCAAAACTGGGAGGCAGTTTCAGAAACAATTGATTACCAAGCTCTATGATGGCTGGCCTCTTGAAAGAGGAACACCAAGAAGGGGCCAGATGATGAAGAACTCCCCCAGAAACATCTGTATGGAGGAAGGCTGTCAAATGTAGTAATAGTGAAAAATTTGAGACTAGTTATTAAAACCTGAATGCTAGGTTAACAACAATGAGAAACATTCCTCTCAAAGAAACAATAACACTGACCCTCGAACAACAAAATCCAGTTGTATGATTAATAAAGAAAATCAAATTAATGTAAGAAAATGTAATAATTCATATCAGAAGCTCTAACTGAAAACAATTTTCAGAATTTATATCTTTCCATCTTAAAATTAAAAAAAAAAGAAAGTCAAAAATATAATACTTCAGAGTTAACTAAAAGTTGAAAATAATAAGCACAAAAAATTCTGTAATTTCATAAAAAAATAACATGAAATTAGTTACAGTATATGATAAAGATATCAAAAAGCTACAGTATTTTGTGGTAAATGGGATAATGGCAAAAAACAAAGGCAGAGCATACAAAAAAAACAAGATTAATGTTATTTGAAGAATAAAGAATATCAATGTTTGAAAACAAAGTTGTTAGGAGTATTTTACTGTATTTTGCTGGTATTAAACAATATGACATTTTTTAACAAACATTGTTTGATTTCAACTTTCTATAAATGATGAATACTGTTACGACAGTGGAACTCACACGACGCTGGGAGTGTGCGCGTTGGAGTTTCTAGAAGGATCGTGACTTAGCGGGTAACCTCACGAATGACCCAGCATTTGCTAGATGCTCTTATTTTTAGTATATTCGTATAGAGACAGGTATTCGAGTCAAGAGAGTAGTGGGCACCGCAAGTAAAATGTGTTAATCGCTGTGAATTATAGCGTGTGTTTATAAAAGTAGTGAAGTTTAAAGTGACTG